TGTAGATGACCTCGTTGATCGCCTCCTGCCGCTTCTTCTCCGCGTCGCTCACGCTCGCCGCGATCTCCGCGGGTACCGAGTGGATCCACAGCGTCCCCGCTTCGGGCTCCGCGTCCCCGAGCGACTCGCGTGAGGCTTCCTGTAGTGGTGTGAGCAGCGGCTAGACGGAGAGAACTAACCAAGAACGCACCCTGCGCAGCCCGGGCTGCGGCTTCATATTCAGACGCGCCTGCTGCTCGAGGCGGCGCGGGCACGCGATACTGTAGCACAGCTGGTCGCGGCTGCACGTCGGGCTGTAGCAGTCCGCCAGCAGCGTAAACACGCCCGACGGCAGCGGCGCCTCCTCCTCTTCCGCCGCCGCCGCCGCGGCATCAAGCACCCCGGACCCGTCAAACGAGTCCGGCGACATCACGCCCGCCGCGCCCTCCGCCGGCGCCCCAAGCAGCTTCTCCCCCCCACCACCCGCCGCCAGCTCCCCGCTCCCAAACGCATTCGGCAGCTTCGTCCGGAACTGGTACAGCTCCACGACGCTGTCGCGCAGGCGGTGGTCATACGTCACGTCGTGGAAGAATTTCTGCGCGTCGAGCGCGCGCCCGAGCAGCAGCGCGAGGTTGCGGTCCGTTGTCTTGATGATGTGCGCGATGCGGTCGACCGCCTCGCGCCCGTCGAACGCCGCGTGGTACGTCAGCCCGTCCTTGACACGGTCCGCCAGCGGCACGCGCTGCCGGAAGGCGTCCGCGACGCGCGAGAGCAGCGCGGGGTACACGATCGGCGGGCGCTTCGGCGCGGGCTTGGCCGAGGACGAGGGGGACGCGGACGCGGCGATGGTGGCGGAGGACGCGGCGGAGGACACAGCGGACATGCTCATAGCGCGGTCCTGCGCGGTGCGCTCGCGGCGCGGGCCGCCGAGGCGCGGGAGCGTGCGCGAGGTCTCAGAGGAGCGGCGCGAGGCCGAGGCACCGCCGAGGGTGCTGCCCGCGAAGCTCCGCGCGGACGGCGAGGGGATCTGGTCGTGGTGGTCGAGCGAGGTCGGCGACGTCGACGAGCTGGCGACAGACGAGCGGATCGACTGTGGCGGCGTGTCCGAGGCGCTCGAAAAGCGGTGCGCGGGGTGCGGCTGTTGGTAGGCGTACGGCGGCGGCGCGAGTTGTGCTGCAAGGAGAGTCAGTGTCATAATTGGAGGTAATGGAGAGCTAGGAGGTCGAGTGGCGCACTAGTGCACGCCAGCACGCCCAGTGATAGCCGTGACGGCAGTCTCGTAGCGCCAACGAACCGCACCGCAAAGGCGCAGCGCAGCACAGCGCCGTCGTCCGGGATACAGTTATGTAGTCCCAGGCCCGGTGACGCGCATTCTACGTACGTGCCCAGATATATAAAGATACCGAAATGCGGGGATCTTCGCGCGTAGATACCGCACCCGAGGAAGATCGGAACCAATTCTCGGGCGAAAAAAAGGGGGTGAGAGAGACGCCCGGCGGCAGGCGACAGCGCATCAAAGCCGAACACATCTCGGGGCCGAACGCATCGAAAGCCAAAAGCCTACTCACATTGTGCTGCAACCGAAAGAAACGGTAGTCAGTATGAAACCCGCGAGAAGGAACGGGGAAGGAAAGACGAATCCGAGCTGGCGCGCGTGTCCGTGACCGCCTGCCTGCGCCACTAAAACGACCCCGAGATGCGGCAGCGGAGAAACAAAGCTCCACCCGCATCAAGCCCGACATGCAACCGGGGCCACGACGCACCAAGACGCCCGGGGACTCGCGACTCCAAACACACAGAAACCGAAGCAGAAAGCCCCCAAAATACCGGCATAGAAACAGAAAGGAAAGGAAAAGAACTCACGTTGATGTTGCGCTGCGAAGAGAAGGAAGGAAGGGCGTCAGCACAGGTCGATTGGCGGGGGATAAGAGGTGAAAAGTAAAACGAAGGAAGGAAAGGCGGCGGCGGAGGCGATGCGAGCGACGCAAACCGCCGACGCGAGCGATGCACCCCCGGCCCCGCGCGTGCCCGAGAGACACAGCGCCAAGACGAACCGGTGCCCGGCGCGCGTCATCTCCCCGTCTCCGCCCCACAACGCCCGCCGGCGCGTCCGCATCTAGGAACAGCTCTCCCGCCGCGACCAAAACGGCAAGCGCCTGTCTCACACCGAGCAAAGCGCCGGCGCCGATGTGTCTCGATCGGGCGTCCCGACTCCACCGACTGCGCGCCCCGAGTGATACGATACCAGCGATGCGCCCCGGCCCCGCGCGCGCCGCGAGACGAAACGCTGCCATCGCGAACCGGTCCCCGAACGACACCTGGGCCCGATCGACCCCATCGCGGCCCTTGCACAAATACCGCCTCGCTCCGTCCGCGCCGCTCGCGGCCACCGCCTCCCCCACCCACTCGAGCGAGTGATAGATTGCCTGCGCGCGCGTGCAGGGGAGACTCGCTCGCCTCCGGCTCGCAAGGGCGTTCGCTCGACCCGCCCACCGTCCCCTCGCGGCTACCGCCTCCCCCACTCCCACCCGCACAGCTGCGACGTGGTCCCCCTCCACCCTCTCCAGCTCCACCCCCAACTCCCCATCCTCGCACCCCTCCTCCCCCTCCTTCCACTTCCAACTCCTCATGTCCACGTCCACTCTCCCAAACACCCACACCCAACCCACAACGAAAAAAACTGAAACCGAACCCGAACCAAAAAACAAAAGGACGCAAAGGAGACTCACGTTGGTGTTGATGTTGATGTTGGTGTTGGTGTTGCGCTACAAAAAAAGAAAGCAAGGCGTCAGCACGGGCGGGCGGGAGGGACGAATAAGAGGAGGGAAACGGGATGAAAAGCAAGGAGGGGAAAGAAGAGGGCAGGGGAGAGGGAGGCCCCGCGCGCGCCCCGACCCCATCCCTCCTGGCGCTCGCGTCCCGATCTCATGGCCGAGGAATAGGGACCAAAAAGGCAAGGGCCGTGCCCGCGTACCCGCACCGAGCAAAAGACCCGTCTAGCACCGAGCAAACCGCCGGCGCGCCTCGACCGAGCGTATCGCGCCCTCGCACCAACACCGCTTCGCCGCGCCAAGGCGCCGACATGACCACCGCGCCGGCACCGGCGCCCACCGAATAGCGCTCCCGACGGGACAAAAGGTGCTCGCCCCGCACCGAGCAAACCGCCGGGCCCTCGATCGCGTGCATCGCATCGCCCTCGCACAAATCCCGATGCGTCGCGCCTCTCCGCTGCGTACACCCCGCCGTGCAGCGCAGGGCAGCCCGCACCGGCACCGGCGCCAAACCACCCCCTCTCTTCTCTTCACCCCCATCGCAAAGTCGTCCTCCCCTCCACCTCTCCACGCCTCCCTCTCACACCCCATCTCCCACGAGCGAAAACCACCCAACGAGAAGAGGAACGAAACGAAAAGGGAAGGAAGAGGAACGCACGTTGTTGTTGCTGCTGTTGAGGCGCTGTGAAAGCAAGCAAGCCGGTCAGTATATGCAAGGAATTTAATTAGGGATAAGAAGAAGTGTTTTCGCCCTCCTCCCCATGCGAGATGCGGTGCTCGTCTCATCGCGCCAGGCAGGCCACCGCACCACAAGCGCCCGGCGCCTGTTGCGACGAGACAAATATGCATGCGAGACACGACAAGACGGGCGGCGATCCGCCACGAGATGGGTATCATCCATAGAAATCACCCCATAAATGTATGGGTATCATACAATCCATCCGGCCGGGCGTCCCGGGGTTATGCCACAGCCGCCAGGGGAGAGATAGGTGGAGGGAGGAACGTACGTTGTTGTTGCGCTGGAGAGAGGTGGTCAGCATTAGTAGGAATGAATGAATGCATGAAAAGAATGAAGGCGCGAGGGAGTGCGTCGACGACGTCATACCGCCATCGATGCTTCTCCTCTCAACGCAACAACGAACGAAGCGACTCACATCGTGCCCACGGCAGCTCGCTCTCCTCCTCCTCCCCGTCCTCCCCGGGGCTCTCAAAGCTGATGCCAAGCCCGCGGTCGTCGACGGCGAGCGGCGGGAGCGCGTGGCCGTGTGCGTGGCCGTGCGCGACCTGGGCCTGGTACGCCTGCGCGGCGCTCAGGCCGCTCGGGTCCGGCGGGGGGTCGGGCGGGTGCGGGTAGGGGCTTGGGCTCGGGCCCGCGGCGTACGGGGCGCGGTGGAGCGACGGCGCGGGGGGGTGGTACTGGGCCTGCGGGTACTGCGGGTAGTGGGGGTACTGCGCGGGCGGCGGGGCGGGCGGGGGGTACGGGCCGCGGGGGTACTGCGGGTAGTGGTGCTGTTGTTGTTGGGGGTACTGGGGGTGGGGCGGGGCGTAGGCCTGGGGCGGGGGGCGTTGTTGGTTTGGGTTTAGGTGGTGGGCCGGGCCGGGGCGGCGGCCGAAGATGTCCTCGTAGGCGGCGTGGCGCTCTGGTTGCGGCGGGGGCGGGGGGCGCGGGCCCAGCGGTCGGCCGTCCATCGACGACGCAGGAGCAAGCCGGCGTTTGATCTAAATCCGGCAACTTGGCGGACTTTGAATTTAATTAACAATCTAAGCGCCGACTACGAGGACACCGCTTGGTCTCGTACGTCCATGGTTGGCTCGACACCGACGCCGGTGCCCCGTTCTCCCTCCCCCACTTGGTGCAATTCCCCTTCCTCCTCCTCCTCTTTTACTGCATTGTGTCAGTGGGATAGTGGCGTGCTGGCAACCCCGCCACATCACAACAGCGAGCGAAGGACCGCGTCTACATGAACTCTCCAGGTAGGCAGGCGATGCCTAGCCCTGCTGCTGAGCGCAGTCATTTCCTGCCTTGTCAACCCCGCGTCCCGTTACTCTCCTACTCAACTCCTACTCCCAAACCCTCTCCGCCTCGGCGCGCTCTTCCTCCGCCTTCTTCTTATCCGCACACCCTCCCCTCCTCCTCTTATCTACATCCCTCCCAACACCCTCCCTTCCTCATCTCTCCCCCATTCCACCAACTCCTCGCCCCTATCGGCCTATATCCCTCCTATCTTTATCTTCCCTCTGACCCTCATAGCATCAGTGGGGTAGTGGTAACCTGGGTCGTTGCCATTTCGGGCTATTACGTAATAATACGTAAATTAACTCGACCCGCCGGGGGTTCGATTCCCTCCTGATGCATTTCCTGATAGTGGAAGAGTTTTGCTCACCTTTTTATTTAGTTGCATATTAATGGGATGCAGGTTGACTTTGCCTGGAACTGCTGCGATGAGCTCCTTGTTCTTCTGGTTCTTGAGCCCATCGCTGTATTTGCGCATTGTGCTTTTTTGCAAAGTGAGAAACACCTGTTCGGCTTTGAGGTAGCTGTTCCGGACCTAACGCAGCAAGAGATCAGGACAGGCAGGAAACAAGGGACAGAAAACTGACCGGTGCAGTTTGAATCTCGGTCCAGCCTCGAGCGAATGCGACGGGGATCTTGGTTTCCTTGGGGTTGTCCAACTCGCCAGTCGCGAGACGGAAGATTCGGTTTGCGCTGGCTGTACCGGGGTCGTAAGCGCTGGCGGTGGCATTAAAACAAGCAAGGTATTGCAGCCATGCCGATTGTCTCGCGACATCTAGGGGTTTGAAGTCCTCGCGATCCTAAAGTAAGTAAAGCATCAGACGCTGGTCTGATCGGCTCATCTGTCTGAACTTACGACAAGCTTGGCCTTGTACTCTAGTTTCCGCTTTGCAGCGTCCTTCGCTGTTTCTTCTGCTTGGGGTGCCGCCCTTGCCCGACGAACTAGACATTCCACCGCATAGCTTTTGAAAGCGTGCCGTTTGAGGTTTGCCTTGATTATTGCCGCTTACAGAAAAGTTGGCGGTGGCGGTAAATAGACACAAATTTTGCCGTTTTGAATCCAAACTGGCGCGGGCCATAACGCGACAACCGCTGCTCAGATTCCAACGAATCCGAGTGCAATCGAATCGTCTCGTTCGATTCCCTCCTGATGCATAAAAATTGAAAGCCATATTTTTGCCCTTTTATTCTATCTCATTTTTTTTTCTTTTTTTCTGGCCAGGTAGACTTTGTCTGAAACATAATTCACGTTTGACTTTTAGCCATTGGATTCACGGCGGCCGTCCTCAATGCTGACGTCGGGCACGAATTCGTACGGCACGCGGACGTCTAAATGCTCACTGAGCGGTGCCCAAACTGGATATATCTCATTTCAAGAGACTTCCAGTACTCCGACCTCTGCCCCGCCGTAAAGAAGGCTACCCCGCAACTCATTTCTCAGTCCCTAAACCAAAATTGGAAGCGAACGGCCCGTCAAATCCGTCCTAAACCCCCCTGCACGAGTCATAATGCTTAATTGCTTGACACCTGAATCGAATCAGCGGAGAACGGGAATGGTCACTCCAGGAAGTAAGTAATCAGGCCCTGATCCCGTCCGTCTTATACTGTAAATCTCGTTGCCTCGTGGTCTCGTTTAAATAACCTCCGAGCCAGGGATAGACGAAGCGTTCATGTAAATATTTAACACCGCGCTCCGTTCAATGACCTCAAGGCTCTAGTCGATTACGACCGGGCCTCAATTCTCAAATAATTCCCCCCCGAGAGCGTTCTGATTTCGCGGCCGTGCAGCCGCATTCACAAAACATTACCACAGCCCTCGCGTGGACGAATGAATGCCAACGACTCATCTGTATACTCCCCACCGGTGCGATATATTTGATTTTATCTGACTTGATTTCACGCAGAATTGCCTACAGTGCGTTATATCTGGCTGTTCAATACATCGGCAAAGACGATGCCCGCTAGAGGATCAATAATGGCGTTGTGTGGGATTTTTTTCCCGGGGGTACAATACGGGTGAATCCGAGGGTCAAATACGGGTGAATCCAAAGGTAAAACACTACGGGACTCCCGAGGGCCGAGGCGCAGGTAAGATCCACCTGGTGCCATATCCTGCGCGCGCCCCCGTGTAATTTATAGCGAACTCCCAGTGCGGAATGTATTTCCTGATTTTCGCGCTCTCAGGACATGGACGAATTAACGATGGTTCAAGTTGAATCTTTGTGAAAATTAGCGTTTTAAGCTTGGTCGTTGCGTTGAAACGCAGCCCGCCTTGCACCCCACCGAGGAACCCCGACGTTACTCCCCCAGGAAGTTTGACTCCCTGGACTCGAGGAGTTCCATCCTACATGAAGGAGAGCTCAGGTTGAGAGATTGATTGACTTGGAACGGTTAGCTACGTACTCAGACGCATGTGACCTTGGTTCAATGCTAAACACCTGCCAGTCCTTCATTCTCTCTTTCTTTTTTTATGCCTTCTTCTCAACCCATCTTCCGTTTTTCAACACACCGTTCCTAGTCCTCAAACACCCGACACAAATTTCTATTCTCCATCCTCTTCACGATGATCCTTTCCTGGACGCATTCCCGGACCTAGGGCCTAGCTCGGGCGTCGGGCATCTCAGTGATCACTGAGCGGTGCGCAAACTGAATATACTTCATTTCGAGACGCTTCCAGTGCTCCCGACCTCGGTTCGTCTAAAACCAAAACCGTGAGCGAGAGCCCCGTCAAACAAGGTGAGTTTTTACTCCCCTCTACGAGTCATAATGCTTGGCACCTGAAGTTAGTGGCGAAAGAGAAAGCGGTCACTCCAGCATGTTCGATCAGCGGTATGTTCTACTCCCCCTTCCATTTAACCTTTACTCCGCGCTCATCAACGTTCATAGAAAGCTCCCCACAGCGCACCCCTTACTGAAACCATCACACCAGTCCGTATGCTAGATCATTCTCAGGAGACATGCGTCCGACTGTAACATGAGTCCCGATCCCTTTCATTTTGTATTTATATCTCGCTGCCTCGTGCCCTGGTTTAAATAACCTCCGAGCCAGGAATAGACAAAGTGTTCATGTAAAACCGCGCTCCGTTTGAAAGTCTCACGAAACTGTACGATGAAAGGCACTTCCAAAAATTTGGAGAACCCCACCACCGATGCCCCGCGACGGGGTTTCGCCACTACGTCGATTAGATGCGAGACGTTCTCCGGGAGTCTGGGCGTAGACGAAATGAGCTTAAAGCCCGGATCGCGATCGAAAGCTCGACGCGCGTCGCATGCGGGGATAGCCAGTTCATCCAGAATTATTCAGATCCTGCTGGGATGTTGAAAATTAAATATTAGCATACATAGCGGTTTTCGACTTCAATGCTTGGCGGCGGAAGTTCAAAACCCATCCTTCGTGCATCGCAGGTCTTGAGGGACGATATCGATGGGTGGGTCCGACTTTGGTAAGCCGAGAGACAATCTTGTGAGCGCCTGGAGTAGGCACAGATTTGCCAGTGCAGAATCGAATTCAGCGCTTCAAGCACTGGGAGGAAGTGAAATCGGAATCTCGCTCGGTGCAAAGCTGAAACCCGGCGCGTATTCTGTCCGGACTTCCATGTAATCCAACGCGGAAGTTCGATCGCGAATGCACTCGTGACTTCCAACTTCTAAGCTCATGTATTCCAAGGCTCGGAGATTAGATCCCCGGACCTCCCGGGAATCACGTTCAACTACCACCTAGATCACCGATCCCAGGCGACGAAGAGATTTGAACGAATTCTTTCATTCTTCGCACGGTTGCATTCTTTGCCCGGGATTGGAATCTTGTATATTCCTTGCCTTGGAACTGAAGGGCTGTTTAGACTGTCTACCATCGGCGTTATATAACTGAAACTGAGGGTTGGGAGGTGCGGTGCCGGCTATCGCTGCCAAGCGACCCATCTGGTCCAGTCGTCCGTTTGCCTCTCGAGTTCGCGAACGCCGACGCTGTATGTAATACCCAAAGTTAGAGAGGAGTAAGGTGTCCAGAGGAGGAGTGCCATACCCGGCGCCAGCCCGTCTGTACTCTACATTGAAAACCGATGAAAACCGATGTAAGAAGAGTACTTGCATGATGAATAACTCACTTCACGCTGAGGCTCGCAGAACGCCTTCAAGTCCGCGAGCTCGGACACCGGATCGACAAGACAATGAAGACATGTACCGTACAGTCTTCCCCGGCGGCCGCAGTGTCGGTCCTTTAGCTTCATCAAAGTGTAGCAGTCGGTGATTCGCGAGCGGAGTTTGAAGGGTGCTGAAACACTCAGGTTTACATTTAACTGTCATGGTGTAACCTTTTTCAGCATTACGACCCAATGCGAGCTGGTCGACGCGGGAGCGTCCAAGTCGACCGACCAAGCCTTGGGCCGCTCGCAAGGTACTGGTGGCCAGGTTTGCAATAGTTTTACATGTCGACCAGAACTTATCGGGCCTGAAATGTCTACCAGTCGTTGCTGAAATGGGCGATGCAATCAACCTTGAATCTATAGTAGTGATCATATCATTGGTGCTTTGCAGGGAACTTCTTAATCCAAAATATGAATCAGAGTCTTGGATGAGTCTCAAACAGCACATGGTTGGGACTCGTACGCATGCGAATATCGAGACAGACCTTCCGCCGCCACAACGAGTACGATATGTAGCAGGTACTCTTTCAACGCCGTCTCAATCACAGAGAAAGGCAGAACCAATTATAAATCAATTCTCTTCCCAATATTAATTAAGTGCATGTTGGCTTGTTTCCAGCGCACCAGGTGCTCGCAGCACCTCCGGAGCAGCATTTGAACGAAGAGATACGCTTCTGCCAGCCGCCACCACAAATGGTGTTGAAGTCGTTGATGGTGCCATCCAACTGGTCGGTGTGATCACCGTTACAATTCGCATTGCTGGCAATTCAAATATTAGTGCATCGTATGAACAAGAGTTGTATGTAACATACGCCCAGAACACACAGTTCCCGCCTTCAATCTGGGCCGAATGGGTCTGGTCATTCACGCTGAGGTCGACGTTGACTATGATCAAGCAGGGTGAGCGGATTTCGCCGTCGAAACGAGATAGGCGGATACTCACCGCATGTCCCGTCAGCAGGGGAACTGGTGAAGCGAGTTCCTGCCAGGCTGAGACCAGTGCAGTACGTGACTGTGGCTGCGAGTGCAGGAGCGGTGACGGAGAGAGCAAAAGCAATGCTGAGGAACTTCATTCTGGAGTATGAGTGATACGACTGAGGTCGAGTCTGGAGTTTGATGGTTGGTATCCTTTCAGACGCTGGCTTTTATAGATTCTCTGTTGAGGTCTGCCGCTACCTTGAAACTTGGCCAAGTTG